TCCCCATGTCACCCCGATGTCCCCAATGTCCCCAAATGTCCCCTCAGTGTCCCCAATGTCCCCGATGTCCCCAGTGTCACCCCGATGTCCCCATGTCACCCTGAGCAGGCAGTTGAGGCGGGCCAGCGCCTCCAGGAAGATGTCGGTGCCAATGTCCCCCCAATGTCCCCAATCCCCTCAATGTCCCCGATGTCCCCAATCCCCTCAGTGTCCCCAATCCCCCCAATGTCCCCAAATGTCCCCAATGTCCCCATGTCACCCTGAGCAGGTAGTTGAGGCGGGCCAGCGCCTCCAGGAAGATGTCGGCTCCCTTGTTGGAGAACTCGTAGCGGCCGGCGATGAAGAAGAAAAGCGTCTTGTCCAGGTCGAAGTCCAGGTGCCTGAGGGGGAGCTCGCCTGGGGGACCCGAAACGCCCCAAAAACAGCCCAAACCAGCCCAAAATATCCCAAAATATCCCCAAAACAGCCCAAAAACACCTGGGGACCCCCAAACGCCCCAAAACCGGCCCAAAACAGCCAAAACCAGCCCCAAATAACCCAAAAACACCCCAAAAGCAACTGGGGAACCCCGAAAGGCCCCAAAACCAGCCCAAATATCCCAAAATATCCCAAAACCAGCCCAAAACAGCCCAAAACACCCCCAAACCACCCCAAAACACCCCAAGAACAGCCCAAAACAGCCAAAACAGCCCAAAATATCCCAAAATATGCCCAAAATCACCTAAAAACAGCCCAAAACCAGCCCAAAATATCCCCAAATCACCCCAAAACCACCTGGGGACCCCGAAACGCCCCAAAACCAGCCCAAAATATCCCAAAATCACCCCAAAAGCAACTGGGGAACCCCGAAACGCCCCCAAAACAGCCCAAAACAGCCAAAACCACCCCCAAATAACCCAAAAACACCCCAAAATCACCTCCAAATCACCCCAAAACCACCTGGGGACCCCGAAACGCCCCAAAACCAGCCCAAAATATCCCAAAATCACCCCAAAAGCAACTGGGGAACCCCGAAACGCCCCCAAAACAGCCCAAAACAGCCAAAACCACCCCCAAATAACCCAAAAACACCCCAAAATCACCTAAAAACAGCCCAAAACCAGCCCAAAATATCCCAAAATCACCCCAAAACCAACTGGGGACCCCAAAACACCCCAAAAACGGCCCAAAACAGCCAAAACCAGCCCCAAATAACCCAAAAACACCCCAAAAGCAACTGGGGAACCCCGAAAGGCCCCAAAACCAGCCCAAATATCCCAAAATATCCCAAAACCAGCCCAAAACAGCCCAAAACACCCCCAAACCACCCCAAAACACCCCAAGAACAGCCCAAAACAGCCAAAACAGCCCAAAATATCCCAAAATATGCCCAAAATCACCTAAAAACAGCCCAAAACCAGCCCAAAATATCCCCAAATCACCCCAAAAGCAACTGGGGAACCCTGAAACGCCCCAAAACCAGCCCAAACCAGCCCAAAATATCCCAAAATCACCCCAAAACCAACTGGGGAACCCCGAAACGCCCCCAAAACAGCCCAAAACAGCCAAAACCACCCCCAAATAACCCAAAAACACCCCAAAATCACCTAAAAACAGCCCAAAACCAGCCCAAAATATCCCAAAATCACCCCAAAACCAACTGGGGAACCCCGAAACGCCCCCAAAACAGCCCAAAACAGCCAAAACCACCCCCAAATAACCCAAAAACACCCCAAAATCACCTAAAAACAGCCCAAAACCAGCCCAAAATATCCCAAAATCACCCCAAAACCAACTGGGGACCCCAAAACACCCCAAAAACGGCCCAAAACAGCCAAAACCAGCCCCAAATAACCCAAAAACACCCCAAAAGCAACTGGGGAACCCCGAAAGGCCCCAAAACCAGCCCAAATATCCCAAAATATCCCCAAAACAGCCCAAAAACACCTGGGGACCCCCAAACGCCCCAAAACCGGCCCAAAACAGCCAAAACCAGCCCCAAATAACCCAAAAACACCCCAAAAGCAACTGGGGAACCCCGAAAGGCCCCAAAACCAGCCCAAATATCCCAAAATATCCCAAAACCAGCCCAAAACAGCCCAAAACACCACCCAAAAGACCCCAAAATACCCCAAAACAGCCCAAAATACCCCCAAAACAGCCCAAAATATCCCAAAACAGCCCAAAACCAGCCCAAAATATCCCAAATCACCCCAAAATCACCCCAAACCCACCTGGGGACCCCGAAACGCCCCCAAAACAGCCCAAACCCAGCCCAAAATATCCCAAATCACCCCAAAATCACCCCAAACCCACCTGGGGACCCCGAAACGCCCCCAAAACAGCCCAAACCCAGCCCAAAATATCCCAAATCACCCCAAAATCACCCCAAACCCACCTGGGGACCCCGAAACGCCCCAAAACAGCCCAAAACAGCCAAAAACACCCCAAAATACCCCTAAACTACCCAAAAATACCCCAAAACCACCGGGGGAACCCCAAGACAGCCCAAAACCACCCCAGGATTTTGGGGTTCCCCGGTTTTTGGCATCCCTTTTTGGGTTTTTGGGGTCCTTTTTGTGTTTTTGGGGTCCCTTATGGGGTTTTTGGGGTCCCTTTTGTGGTTTTTGGGGTCCCTTTTGGGTTTTTGGGGTCCTTTTTGGGGTTTTGGGGTCCCTTTGGGGTTTTTGGGGTCCCTTTTGGGGTGACTTGCCCGTAGAAGTCACCCCAAACTCCTGCCTCCCCACCCTCAGCATCCCTCAGGGATTTTGGGGTTCTGCCTGGGTTTTCCCCAGGATTTTGGTTTTTTGGGGGTTCCTTTCGGGGTTTTTGGGCTCCCCCCGGGGTTTTTGGGGTCCCTTTTGGGGTTTTTGGGGTCCCTTTTGTGGTTTTGGGGTCCCTTATGGGGTTTTTGGGGTCCCTTTTGTGGTTTTTGGGGTCCCTTTTGGGTTTTTGGGGTCCTTTTTGGGTTTTTGGGGTCCCTTTGGTGTTTTTGGGGTCCCTTTTGGGGTGACTGACCCACAGAACTCACCCCAAACCCCTGGCTCAGGATCCCCCACTGGGTTTGGGGTTTTTCCCCAGGATTTTGGGGTTCTGCCCGGGTTTCCCCCGGTTTTTTGGCTCCCCCCGGGGTTTTTGGGGTCCCTTTTGGGGTTTTGGGGTCCCTTTTGGGGCCCTGACCCACAGGATCACCCCAAACTCCTGCCTCCCCACCCTCTGATACCAGGGTTTCCCACTGGATTTTGGGGTTCTGCCCGGGTTTCCCCCAGGATTTCGGGGTTCCCCCGGTTTTTTGGGGTCCCTTTTCGGTTTTTGGGGTCCCTTTTGGGGTTTCGGGGTCCCTCTGGGGTGACTTGCCCGTAGAACTCACCCCAAACTCCTGCCTCCCCACCCTCAGCATCCCTCTGGGATTTTGGGGTTCAGCCCAGTTTTCCCCAGGATTTTGGTTTTTTGGGGGTTCCTTTCGGGGTTTTTGGGCTCCCCCCGGGGTTTTCGGGGTCCCTTTTCAGTTTTTGGGGTCCCCCTGGGGTTTTTGGGGTCCCTTTTCGGGTTTTTGGGGTCCCTTTCGTGGTTTTGGGGTCCCTTTTGGGGTTTCGGGGTCCTTTTCGGGGTGACTTTCCCGTAGAACTCACCCCAAACTCCTGCCTCCCCACCCTCTGGATCCATCAGGGATTTTGGGGTTCTGCCTGGGTTTTCCCCAGGATTTCGGGGTCCCCCTGGGGTTTTTGGGGTCCCTTTTCAGTTTTTGGGGTCCCTTTTGGGGTTTCGGGGTCCCTTTTGGGGTCACTGACCCGAAAAACTCACCCCAAACTCCTGGCTTTGGATCCCCCACTGGGTTTTGGGGTTTTTCCCCAGGATTTTGGGGTTCTGCCTGGGTTTTCCCCCAGGATTTCGGGGTTCCCCCGGTTTTTTGGGGTCCCTTTTCGGTTTTTGGGGTCCCTTTTGGGGTTTCGGGGTCCCTCTGGGGTGACTTGCCCGTAGAACTCACCCCAAACTCCTGCCTCCCCACCCTCAGCATCCCTCTGGGATTTTGGGGTTCAGCCCAGTTTTCCCCAGGATTTTGGTTTTTTGGGGGTTCCTTTCGGGGTTTTTGGGCTCCCCCCGGGGTTTTCGGGGTCCCTTTTCAGTTTTTGGGGTCCCCCTGGGGTTTTTGGGGTCCCTTTTCGGGTTTTTGGGGTCCCTTTCGTGGTTTTGGGGTCCCTTTTGGGGTTTCGGGGTCCCTTTTGGGGTTTCGGGGTCCCTTTTGGGGTTTCGGGGTCCCTTTTGGGGTTTCGGGGTCCCTTTTGGGGTTTCGGGGTCCCTTTTGGGGTTTCGGGGTCCCTTTTGGGGTTTCGGGGTCCCTTTTGGGGTTTCGGGGTCCCTTTTGGGGTTTCGGGGTCCCTTTTGGGGTTTCGGGGTCCCTTTTGGGGTCACTGACCCGAAAAACTCACCCCAAACTCCTGGCTTTGGATCCCCCACTGGGTTTTGGGGTTTTTCCCCAGGATTTTGGGGTTCTGCCCGGGTTTCCCCCGGTTTTTTGGCTCCCCCCGGGGTTTTTGGGGTCCCTTTTGGGGTTTTGGGGTCCCTTTTGGGGCCCTGACCCACAGGATCACCCCAAACTCCTGCCTCCCCACCCTCTGATACCAGGGTTTCCCACTGGATTTTGGGGTTCTGCCCGGGTTTCCCCCAGGATTTCGGGGTTCCCCCATTTTTTGGGGTCCCTTTTGGGTTTTTGGGGTCCCTTTTGGGGTTTCGGGGTCCCTCTGGGGTGACTTGCCCGTAGAAGTGGCCCCTGACGAACTCCTGGACGCGCGCCTTGCTCTGCGCGTGCAGGTTCTGGAACTCGTGCATGGCCGAGAACTTGCGCACGTTCAGCCCGTTGGGGGTCACCAGGTCTGGGGGGTTTGGGGGGTCAGGGGGACCCCAAAATCCCCCCAGAACATCCCCCAAATTCCCAAATCCCCCAAATCCCCGGATCCCCCCCAAAAAAATCCCAAAATTTTTCCCAAATCCCACCCGGAAACCCCGTGAGGATTTTTGGGGTGAGGGGATTTTTTGGGGGGTCTTTAGGGGTTCATCGAGGTTTTGGGGGTCACCAGGCACCCCGAAATCCCCCCCAAAATGTCCCCCAAATTCCCAAATCCCCCAAATCCCCGGATGCCCCCCAAAAAATCCCAAAATTTCCCCCAAATCCCACCCTGAAACCCTTCCGGGACTTTTGGGGATAAAGGAAAGGTTTTGGGGGGGTCTTTAGGGGTCCATTTGGATTTTGGGGTCCCCCCTGACCCCTCCCAACACCTGGAGACCCCAAAAATCCTTGGGGAGACCCCAAAGGTGCCCCCCCAAAATCCCTGGGGTCTTTTGGGGGTCCCTCCCTGGGTCTGGGGGGGAATTTTGGGGGGTTTGGGGCAGTTTTGGGGTTCTCAGGGGGATTTTGGGGGTTTTTGGGGCAGTTTTGGGGTGCTCAGGAGGAATTTGGGATTTTGGGGCAGTTTTGGGGTGCTCAGGGGGATTTTGGGGGTTTTTTGGGGCATTTTTGGGGTGCTCAGGGGGATTTTGGGGTAATTTTGGTCAGTTTTGGGGTTCTCAGGGGGATTTTGGGGGGTTTGGGGCAGTCTTTGGGGTGCAGTTGGGGTTTCGGGGTCCCTTTGGGGTGACTGACCCGTAGATCTCACCCCAAACCCCTGGCTCAGGATCCCCCACTGGGTTTTGGGGTTTTTCCCCAGGATTTTGGGGTTCTGCCCGGGTTTTCCCCAGGATTTCGGGGTTCCCCCATTTTTTGGGGTCCCTTTTCAGTTTTTGGGGTCCCTTTTGGGGTTTCGGGGTCCCTTTGGGGTGACTTGCCCGTAGAAGTGGCCCCTGACGAACTCCTGGACGCGCGCCTTGCTCTGCGCGTGCAGGTTCTGGAACTCGTGCATGGCCGAGAACTTGCGCACGTTCAGCCCGTTGGGGGTCACCAGGTCTGGGGGGTTTGGGGGGTCAGGGGGACCCCAAAATCCCCCCAGAACATCCCCCAAATTCCCAAATCCCCCAAATCCCCGGATCCCCCCCAAAAAAATCCCAAAATTTTTCCCAAATCCCACCCGGAAACCCCGTGAGGATTTTTGGGGTGAGGGGATTTTTTGGGGGGTCTTTAGGGGTTCATCGAGGTTTTGGGGGTCACCAGACACCCCGAAATCCACCCCAAAATGTCCCCCAAATTCCCAAATCCCCCAAATCCCCGGATGCCCCCCAAAAAATCCCAAAATTTCCCCCAAATCCCACCCTGAAACCCTTCCGGGACTTTTGGGGATAAAGGAAAGGTTTTGGGGGGGTCTTTAGGGGTTCACTGGGATTTTGGGGGTCACCAGGTGTTGGGGGACCCCAAAATCCCCCCCAAAATGTCCCCCAAATTCCCAAATCCCCACATCCCCCCCAAAAAATCCCAAAATTTCCCCCAAATCCCACCCAGGAACCCCTCCGGGACTTTTGGGGTGAGGGGATTTTTTTGGGGGGGTCTTTAGGGGTCCATTTGGATTTTGGGGTCCCCCCTGACCCCCCCCCAACACCTGGAGACCCCAAAAATCCTTGGGGAGACCCCAAAGGTGCCCCCCCAAAATCCCTGGGGTCTTTTGGGGGTCCCTCCCTGGGTCTGGGGGGGAATTTTGGGGGGTTTGGGGCAGTTTTGGGGTTCTCAGGGGGATTTTGGGGGTTTTTGGGGCAGTTTTGGGGTGCTCAGGAGGAATTTGGGATTTTGGGGCAGTTTTGGGGTGCTCAGGGGGATTTTGGGGGTTTTTTGGGGCATTTTTGGGGTGCTCAGGGGGATTTTGGGGTAATTTTGGTCAGTTTTGGGGTTCTCAGGGGGATTTTGGGGGGTTTGGGGCAGTCTTTGGGGTGCAGTGATGAGGTGCCAGTGCTTGATGGTATGGATAGAAGGGGACAAGCCTCAGCCTTGTGACATGTGGGGTTAATGGGGCAGAGCCACACCATGTCCCTCTGAGGGGACCTGGGTGGCACTGCCACAGCAGTCTCACATCCCAGCTCTGGGCAGGAGAGGTAAAAAATGATAAAAAATTAGTTTTTTATCTTCCTGGGCAGGAGAGGTGCAGGTCCCACAACACCTGCCAGACTGAATATCAGGAATGAAAGGGTTAAACTGAGGCCACCCTCTCCTGAGACAAGTCAGACAGGTTCTGGTGATGTAGGGGTGATGTGGCAGCTTGAAAGAAAGGATAAACAGAGCGTGGTACAAAATGATCCAAAGAGTGAAAACAAGGCTGGGCAGTTGGGAAGCACAGGGACCTTGTCCACGTCAAACTGGGGAGGGGGCACACCTGGGGTCACCTGAGTGCACCTGGGCACACCTGAGCACACCTGGGCACACCTGGGGTCACCTGGGCACACCTGGGGTCACCTGGGCACACCTGGGCACACCTGAGCACACCTGGGCACACCTGGGACTCCCCTGCCCTGATCTGCCGCTCGCCCGCCTCCTTGTCCACGTCAAACTGGGGAGGGACACACCTGGGGTCACCTGGGGTCACCTGAGCGCACCTGGGCACACCTGGGACCCCCCTGCCCTGATCTGCCGCTCGCCCGCCTCCTTGTCCACGTCAAACTGGGGAGGGGGCACACCTGGGGTCACCTGAGCACACCTGGAACCCCCCCTGCCCCTCTCAGGCACACCTGAGCACACCTGAGCACACCTGGGGTCACCTGGAACCCCCCCCGCCCCTCCCAGGCACACCTGAGCACACCTGAGTGCACCTGGGCCCATCCAAAACCCCACGGAGAGCCCTGACCCCCAGGTGTGTCCCCAGGAATGTTCCCAGGTGTGTCCCCGTGACCCCAGGTGTGTCCCCGTGACCCCAGGTGTGGCCCTGTGTCCCCAGGATGCTCTCAGGTGTCCCCAGGTGTGTCCCCAGGTGTGACTCACGCTGTGGCTGCTGCAGAACTCCCGGCTCATGGTGAGCAGGTACCGGTCCAGGTGTGTCCCCAGGTGTGTCCCCGTGACCCCAGGAATGTCCCCAGGTGTGTCCCCAGGTGTGTCCCCATGACCCCAGGTGTGGCCCTGTGTCCCCAGGAATGTCCCCAGGTGTGTCCCCAGGTGTGGCCCTGTGTCCCCAGGAATGTCCCCAGGTGTGTCCCCAGGTGTAGCAGCGTGGCGTGCGTGGTGAAGATGGTGGCCACGGGCAGGCGCCGGGCGCGGCTCAGCACCAGCCCCAGCCCCGCCAGCCACTCGTGGAAGTGGCCCACGATGAACGGCCGCTCCTCGCTCTGCGCCGCAAACTGTCCCCAAGTGTCACCAGGGTCACCAGGTGGCACCGGGTGGCACCAAATGGCACCAGGTGTCACTGTGGTGTCACCTGAGCCCGGCACGGGGCACTCAAGGCGTCACCGCCGCACCTGGTGTCACCACCCGAGAACCCCCCCACTGTCACTATGGTGTCATTGTCATTGTCCCCAACCCCCCCAGGTCATTGTCACTGTCCCCAGGTGTCCCCAGGTGTCGCTGTGGTGTCACCTGAGCCCGGCACGGGGTGCTCCAGGTGTCACCGCCACACCTGGTGTCACCACCCGAGAACCCCCCCACTGTCACTATGGTGTCATTGTCATTGTCCCCAACCCCCCCAGGTCATTGTCACTGTCCCCAGGTGTCCCCAGGTGTCGCTGTGGTGGCACCTGAGCCCAGCACGGGGCGCTCAAGGTGTCACCGCCACACCTGGTGTCACCACCCGAGAACCCCCCCACTGTCACTACAGTGTCACTGTCATTGTCCCCAACCCCCCCATGTCATTGTCACTGTCCCCAGGTGTCCCCAGGTGTCGCTGTGGTGGCACCTGAGCCCAGCACGGGGCGCTCAAGGTGTCACTGCCACACCTGGTGTCACCAGCCAAGAACCCCCCCACTGTCACCATTGTGTCACTGTCATTGTCCCCAAACTCCCCATGTCACTGTCACTGTCACCAGGTGTCACCAAATGTCACCAGGTGTCACTGTGGTGTCACCTGAATTCAGCACGGGGTGCTCCAGGTGTCACTACCACACCTGGTGTCACCACCCAAGAACCCCCCCACTGTCACTACAGTGTCACTGTCATTGTCCCCAACCCCCCCATGTCATTGTCACTGTCCCCAGGTGTCCCCAGGTGTCCCCAGGTGTCGCTGTGGTGGCACCTGAGCCCAGCACGGGGCGCTCAAGGTGTCACCGCCACACCTGGTGTCACCACAGCCCACCCAAGAACCCCCCCACTGTCACCGTTGTGTCACTGTCACTGTCCCCAGGTGTCCCCAAGGCAGTTTTTCCATCGTGGTCGTACCAGGGCACCTCAAACCTCCTCAAAACCACCTCAAACCTCCTCAAAACCACCTCAAACCTCCCCAAAACCACCTCAAACCGCCTCAAAACCAACTCAAACCCTCTTTGGACACCCCAAACTGCCTGAGGAACCCCAAAACACCCCGAGAACCAGGTCACAAGGAAGTCAAAGAGAACCAAGTCTTTGTGTCACGGTCATCGGGGCAACCCAAACCGCCCCAAAACCACCTCAAACCTCCCCAAAACCACCTCAGATCCCCTCAAGGACACCTCAAATCCCCTGAGGAACCCCAAAACGTCCTGAGGAACCCCAAAACCCCCGGAGAAGCAGGCTACAAACACGTCAAAGAGAACGGAGTCTTTGCGTCACCGTCATCGGGGCAACCCAAACCTCCCCAAAACCACCTCAAACTGTCCCAAAACCACCTCAAACCTCCCCAAAACCACCTCAAACCTCCTCAAAACCACCTCAAACCTCCCCAAAACCACCTCAAACCTCCCCAAAACCACCTCAAATTCTCTTTGGGACACCCCAAACCTCCTGAGGAACCCCAAAACCCCTGGTGGAGCCCCAAACCCACCTCTCCGAGGAACCAGGCGACGAGGAAGCCGAAGAGGACGGCGTCGTTGGCCTCGCGGTTGTACCAGGGCACCCCAAACCGCCCCAAAACCACCTCAAACCTCCCCAAAACCACCTCAAACCGCCTCAAAACCAACTCAAACCCTCTTTGGACACCCCAAACTGCCTGAGGAACCCCAAAACACCCCGAGAACCAGGTCACAAGGAAGTCAAAGAGAACCAAGTCTTTGTGTCACGGTCATCGGGGCAACCCAAACCGCCCCAAAACCACCTCAAACCTCCCCAAAACCACCTCAGATCCCCTCAAGGACACCTCAAATCCCCTGAGGAACCCCAAAACGTCCTGAGGAACCCCAAAACCCCCGGAGAAGCAGGCTACAAACACGTCAAAGAGAACGGAGTCTTTGCGTCACCGTCATCGGGGCAACCCAAACCTCCCCAAAACCACCTCAAACTGTCCCAAAACCACCTCAAACCTCCTCAAAACCACCTCAAACCTCC